GTGACTACAGGTGGTTGGGTAGTGACTACAGGTGGTTGGGTAGTGACTACAGGTGGTGTAGTGGTTATGGCCTGACAAGAGGTTTTGTAAAACATTACATCATCGATGGCGATATCACTTTCAAATGTCATTCCACGAACAGCTTGAAACACAACCTATGAAAGTGTATAATGCTCAGACAATATATAGGCAATAAAAGATCATGTTTAATGGAGTCTAGAGACAAAGACATGGTAGACAGATGAATTCGTGGTATTAAGAAAGAACTCTAGTGAAATGTATTCTTAAATATCAAGCAAAATAACCAACATAAGAAAAATACAAATTGGAAACTATAGTGGTCTGGAAATAATTATACGAAGAACTTAAAAACACCAAAAAATGGGGCCAGATTCAACAGCGGATCCAAGTTGAACATGACAAACATAGACAATCATTATATATAGTAAATTAAATATTTATAAATAAGCACTATTTAACTAAAATACGTCACTTAATACAATCTGCACCATGAAGCCTGAGACCTTTTTTGTACTCGAGGAGGCCCAGGATCTATGAAGTTTCGTTATGTCAGAAATTATCTAATTATACCTTGTACTTCCCTGAACTTGATATCGTTGCGTTTCCTTTCTTCCATTCATCTCCTTGGTTACCAGTCTTTGTAAATAGTAACCTCATATCACCAGTACTGGTGTCGTTAACAAACAAGTTAAGGGTTCCCATTCCTTCACCATACATGTGATAGTAAAATGTTACGCATCGGATTTCTGTTGGTGGAAATTCTTTGCTGACAAAGTTTGCAGTTTTTCCTTCACTGGCTGGAGACGACGCCTCAGCAAAAACGTAGAAACCTAATGGGGGAAATACGTCGAGTATATCACGTTGAAATAAGGCTAACGATATTTTAAAAAACGATGGGGGTTGGTTATGATGCTTGTGATGTAATGATATAGCTGGGTACTATTTCTAAGGCTGGTTCCATAGCCACTGTATTGGTAGAACTCAATATATATTTAAAACGTCAACTTGTATGTTAATTCTAATTAGATTAGTTGACTCTGGTTTATTCATCCTAAGAGAAATTGCACGGACGTTTCGGGCAGATCATGTTACGTCTTCAAGCTGAAAAAGGTCTGACATCATACTGAAACGTCTGTTCAATTTCTCTTAGAAAAACAAGCAAGAGTCGATGGGATCCATCTAAAAAAATTACCATGAATCCTGGCTGCACCTTTCACATCAATTTGTTATATATGTATATACCGTAGACATGGTGGCTATGCTTTAACTGATGTTTTTTGTAGTAATTGCAAGCCAGCAATACAATACACATACCTGTTTTTGTCGTGTGATCCTCAGAAGGTCCGGTGTTTGAGCTAGGAGTGTTCCCCGTGTATCTCTCCCAACGAAAGTTATTCTCTTCATACGTTGTTGGTTGATGCCAGTGGCACAAAGTGTCCTCAAAGTCGCAGTCATCTGGACCTTAAGATTAGTGCATACTTGAGTATCTAATATGTAACATGGAGGGAACCTTAACAAATCATCCCCCGATATCCTTTTCTCTTCCAAAACAAATTCAAGTGACGATTAGAGTGTCAATGGAAGGAGAAGGTCACGGGAACTCTAGGGACTCGGGTATGCCCCTTCAGATATCAAGGTTTTTAAGTGCATTAGGAGTGTGCTTAGTGAAAGTGTTTGTCTTGCAGAATCGATAAAATAAGAAAGCAAGCAAACAAGGGGAAAAGATACTACTATAAGAAGCTGATACTAGATTGTAGTTTCGGCAATGTTATCCGACATGAATGGCTGTCGTTGCTCAGGGTAAATAAACCTCAGAGGTTTCTGCATTCGAGTACGTGTCTATTATTCTACTTAATTTAGGACAGCAATATTCACCAAACATTGAATCCAAAACTTACCAACCTATTTACTTACTGATCATAATGCCTGCTAGCTTGTAGGGCAGCAACAAAAGATTAGAAAAGCTTACCAAGACCACAGGTAGAAACCTTGCAAGACTGTTCGGTAGTGTTTGAACCAACACATGATTTGCCTGAATACTTTGGAGGTGGGTCGTTACATAACCTTGTTCTTGTTTGCTTGCCAATACCACATGATTTGCTACATGTAGACCATGATGACCAGCGGCCCCAGTGCCCGTCAACAGGCTCTAGGATTCATAAATAAGAAGGAGTAGTATGTGGGGACTATGGATAGACGACTCATTATATTCATAGATTCAAGAAATGCAATAACCATGGAAACGAGAGCAAAGGGGAAAGGAGGGGAGGGGAGGKGGTGCAAAGGCGCGCTAGCTCAAGCCCAATCTTGAATGAACGAAAAAAAAAAAGTGCGCGCGCAAACCAAAAGATGAGGTGACGTCACTACATGCCCGCGCAAGTACACAAGTCAAGAATGAATCAAGTCTCAGGTAGGTTTTTAAAAATCGTATATTTATTTATTTTTAAATGAGTGAAATATAAATTAGGATTACAAGGTAAAAAATTAAAAACAATTGTTAGAGATAAGAGTTCATTTTAAGCCAAGCATTTATTTTTTCTTMTTCTTCTTTAATGGGGGGCGCTGGTCTTCAGATTCACTTTCACTAGTAGTGTCGTTATCAGATGACTCGCATTTGAGTTTTTTCATTTTTCTCTTTCTTGACTTCTTTCTGGATTTTGAAGAACGACCTTCATTTTCATCATCGCTAATGTCGCTTTCGCTTTCAACAACAT